AATGATTTATTAATGTGTTATGGAAATAATATATTAATTAGAACATCATATTGTTTAATTAATATTTAATCATAAATTAATTTGGAATTAATTTTAGGATTAAAGGAATTAATTGAAACTACAAGGACTAAAGGTGAAAATGGTCAATAGTTGAGCATTGGGCAATAGAACCTCCCTATGGTAGGGGAACGAAATATAGATGCTCCTAGGGATTAGGGAGGAAGTTAAGGGATTAGGGTTATCTTGGATACACCTGCCTAATCCAATACCTTCCTAACACCTATATAAACCCTACACCATAAGGAATTTCAGCTATGCACTCTTAGAAAATGCTTAGAGCCAAAATTCTTCTTCCCTTATCTCTCTTTATAGAAATCCTTGGTTGCTTGAGTTTGTTTGTGAGCCATTAGAGGCACGACACTTGTGGCGCTTGCTACCGAAGGTCTTTCAAGCAAGGTTTTTAGATTGTTATTACAATATAACAATCATGGTATGTATTTTAATCTTTATTATGTGAAATTCGATTATAAGACATAGAACCTAGGGTTTCTTGTTTTGTGTTCAAGTTTGCATGTTCAATTAGAGAAAACCTAGATCCAATAAATTTAGGGTTGCATGCACACATAGGAATGTATGTTTTGCTCAAAACCCATTAAGTCAGACGTCCGAAAGCGTACATCGTGGCTGCCAAGCAGCAGGAAAAGAATAGCATGACAAAAACAAAATATTGTGAATACCACCGAACGGCACATCACGATGTAGGTGACTGCACTTGATTATGAAAGGAAATGGATGAGAAGAATATAAAAGGGGATCTAAGGGAAGTGGCATGAACTCTCAGACTCAAATGGGAAGAAAAAGAAATGTGCGACGACAGCAGACAGATGAAAAGAAACCTAAGGAAAAAGCCCAAGAGATCTTGGCCATCAGGGCACAACCACAAAGAAGTACAAATAGTAATAACACGGAAGAGTTGGTTAGAAACATGATGAACCGAAGTTTTTCGGTAAAAGACCCACGCCCGACAGGTTGGCAAGGAAACGCACCATTGGTCATCCAACATACATCCGCAGTTCCACTATCCATAGGGTGTATGTTGATATGGGTATTTCAACTGAAAAAATATATGAACAATGATTTACACAATTACCTTAAGAATGGAAGGCACACCTTTGCCCGACAACAGGAAGATTGACAGGATTCACGGGACATAGCATATGGTCACTGGGAACAATACAACTACCCTTATCACTATACAACCAAGATAACCAGAGGAAGAAGATGGTCCTGATAAAATTCGTGGTAGTATGCCACCCTAAATAACACAACATCCTTTTATGAAAAACAACCTTGTAGCACTTTGGAGCCATCATGTCGACAATACATGGGCTCATCAAGTTCAACACACCAGAAGGGCCAGCAATCGTAATGGCAGAAACCTGTTGAAGACACCAATAATACCAAGTCGTGGAGGCAACAAAAGTAGCCAGGGGAGAAAAGCGAAAGTGTGACGAGATCCCAAAGGAACAAAGTAGTGATCAACGACAATTTTCCTGAACAACAAATACAAGTCGACATGGAACTTCACCCAGAGATAAGAGAAAAACTAGTAAACCTCTTGAGAAAGTAAAAACATGTATTTGCATTGACGTCAGTAGATATGGAAGGGATAGACAGGAAGAAAATTGAACACAGGCTTAACCTACAGCCAGGGGCAAGCCCGATAAAATAAAAAAAAACACGGCCAAGCGGGCGAGAGGAACAAAGCGATCAATGCGGAGGTAACGAAGTTAGTGGACACAAACATATTGCGTGGAGCATTTTTTACCATATGGATAGCTAACCCAGTTAAGGTAAGGAAAAGCAATGGAAGATGGCAGATGTGCATAGATTATTCAAGCATTTTTTCCCGTATGTATCGCTAACCCAAATATTCCTATCCACTACCGGAGATAGACCAAAAAGTCGAGTCGCTACAATGGTTCAAATGGAAGTGCTTTCTTGACGCATATAAAGGCTACCACAAAGTATTAATGAAAATAGAAGTTGAAGAGAAAACGATATTCTACACTGATTATGGAACATTCTACTACACTAAGATGCCTTTCGAGCTCAAAAATGTTGGAGCCACCTATCAATAACTTGTATACAAAGTATTTAAAGATAAGATCAGAAGAAATATAGAGGTATACGTCGATGATATGGTCATTAAAAGCCAATATGACCAAAAACTATTACAAGACGTTAAAAAACCCTACAAACATTGGAGAAAGAACGCATGAAATTAAACCCAGCAAAATGCACATTTGGGGTACAAGATTGCAAGTTCCTGGGATGCTACATAAGAAGGGAAGGAATCTAGCCAAATCCATAAAAGATTGTTGATTTTCTAGACACGATAGAACCGCGAAGCATAAAGGAGATGTAAGCTCTGAATGGGAAAAGGATGGCTCTGGGACGATTCATAGCACGATCAGGGATAAGGCAATACCGCTACTCCAGCTAGTAAAAGGTTGCATCGATAAACATAAATTCAGTTGGACACGTGAGGCTGAACATGCTCTCCAGGAATTAAAGAAAGCCCTCAGGCAAGTCCCAAAGTTGGCGAGCGCCATGCCAGGTGAAATCTTGTCAATGTACCTATCTGCAACAACAGACGCAATTTCTGCAGTTCTAACGGTGGAAACACGGAACAAACAGCTCAATATATACTTCATCAGTAGATCATTGCAAGGGGCGGAGTTAAATTACCCCATGGTTGGGAAGGTTGTGCTAACATTATTCTATGTTTCTCAACGTTTGCGTCGATATTTCCAGGCACAACAAATCAAAGTCCTTACCACCCAGCCTCTTAAAAGCATTTTGTTCAAGCCAGAGAAATCAGGAAGGCCAATCAAGTGGGCGATTGATTTAGGAGAACATGATATAGAGTATCACCCCAGGATGAGTATTAAAGGACAAACATTGGTAGACTTCCCAACAAAAGTTCCAGGAAAGGAATGCAACGTAACCAATATGCAGCAAGATGAAGAAGCAAAGGCCGTCATAGAAAATCCAGTCTGGACATTATACACTGACGGCGCAACTAGCAAGGAAGGATCAGGAGTGGGCCTCATATTCACCGACCCGGAAGGAAACGAGATAACATACGCATTGTGGTTCGAATTCGAGACAACAAACAAGGAAGCCGAGTATGAAGCACTGCTAGCTGGATTAAAATTGGCAAACAAAGTTGGAGAAAAAAATTTGAATGCTAGGACGGATTCGATGGTTGTCACGAACCAATTAACGTGGTATACGACACCAAGAATACAGGAATGAAGATATACATGAAGACAGTCAAGGAAATGATTGTATCTTTTGACATCTTGAAAACTGAGAAAGTTAAAAGGAGTGCGAAGAAATGGGCAGATGCACTCAGCAAATTGGCGCAACAACATACAACCACTTATCCAAAAAAAGTGTTGTTTGAAATACTCAAAGTAAAACCTTAATCAGTGACAACGAATTATAGTTCGCCGAAAATCCATTTCGAGGATGGTGTCAAGACATTTACATAGAGCAGCATTTTACCTCAGTAGCTCACCCACGGGAAAAATAGACAAACAAAAATATCAAACAAAACACTGGTGAATGGAATCAAGAAGCACTTAGGAAAAGAAAAAAGAAACGCCGTTCAACCTTGTTTTTGGAACAGATGCAATATTACCTACAGAACTACTCATGGGATCAGTACGGACAAAAGGTTTCAGTCAAGAAGCATCTGATAAAGATTTGCACCACAACATGGATCTGCTTGAAGAAAAGCGAGAAAGATCCCAATTGAACAAGGCAGCGTACAAATCTCGTATGGAAAGCTACTACAACAAACAAATGCATGGATGAGACATAAAGGTCAGAGACTTGCTGCTAAGGGAAAACGAGGTAAATCACAGCGAACCAAGGTGAAAATTAGCCCCAACATGTTAAGGCCCATACAGGATAACAACAACAACACATCACAACGGATCTTATGAATTGGAAACAATGGAGGGGCGACCTATACCAAGAACTTGGCACATCGAACACTTAAGGAAATTTTTGTGTAAAAAAAGAAAGAGAAAAAGAAGGAAGGAGAAGATATGAAGGGTAACCAAAGAACCAGTAATGTCATCCTTTTTTTCTTTTTGGTAATGAATCAAGTAGTAATGAATTAAAAACCTAGGGCCGATCACCTAGGTAGTTATCTCACTCATATTTTTTTCTTTTTCCTATTACTATTCTGGCTCAAAGCATTACAACCTTTTCTAAGAAAAGAATTGTATGGTTCAAATACCCAACTCGACATAAGGACAAGCAGTTCAGCCTTGCCTTGGCTCAAAGAATTGCAACCTTTGCCAGGAAAAGAGTTGTATGGTTAAAATATCCAAATCGATATAAGGGCAAGCAGTTCAGCCTTTCGTTGGCTCAAATGATTGGAACCTTTGCCAAGAAAACAGTTGTATGGTTCAAATACCCAACTTGAAATAACGGCAAGTAGTTCAACCTTGCATTGGCTCAAAGGATTTTAACTTTTCCCAAGAAAAGAGTCAAATGAGCAAAACTCAAGTCATTGCAATAGCAGGCGGTTTAGCCCTGTCTCAAAAGAATTATAGCTTCTGCCAAAGAAAGAAATTATATGAATAAAACACGATAATCATGCAAAGGAAACGGTGAGCAAACAACATACATAGCAAGATATAATGGGAAAATCATTGTTCTATTACACACCAAAACCTAGCAAACCTAGGCCATGTAGGGCCAACATACTAAGTAAAGTATCCATTCACACCCAATCTTGGGCGGCACTAAGTCAAAGCAACCAAGGTCCTTCATTTACCATCTCCTCCATCCAAGCTTACGATCTTGGCATCGCTACTGGGACTTTCTCCTCCATGATCATCATCCGCACACAACTAGCGGAGGTCATAAATTTCAAGGGAACCCAACCTCATCAGGGAAGCATAGTCATAGGAAATGAATTAATCAATTGCATCGACCATCTTTCCTGAATGGCTAGAGGTAGAACTGGCAGCACTAGGATCAAACGTTTCAGCAACCACCGCCTTGCGTAGCGCTACTCTGCTAGACTCCTCACCAGCAGGAAAGCACATGTTTTTTACGCGTCCCACACCTTGAAAAAAATTTGTAATTTCGATAATTTTGTCAAGAATCCTCACTATGCCGTCCTTGACCATCCAGTCCAAGTCACTCCCAAGGAGGGACAGCTCTGCCTCACGATCAAGTAGCATTTTCTCCTTCTCTAACAACTCTATCTCCAGACTCTCCACTCGAATGCTTAGGGCCTCATTTTGCTGGAGAGTGCCATCAAGCTTTGAATCCACTTGAGAATAATGCACTCCAAGAGTCGTCTTCTCGCTAACCAGCAATTCCAATTGCCGACGAAAAGACTACACTAAAGATTCCAGAGAAGCACCATGATGTTGGAGACTCCTCTCATTTGCACGAAGCTTAGCTGCCACACTTTTGAGACGAAGTATGCGGTGGGCCCCCGTAGTGAGAAAAAAGGTACTTTGGGCAGAAGCAAATTCCATAAAGTCAACTGTTTGGTCGTCGGTAAAAGCTTCCATCTCAGAAACGGTCCCTTTAGGGAAGACATGACGCGAAAATTCAGCAGCAACTTCTTGTTGGGAAAGACGAGACAATTCAGTGAGGTTCCATTTGGGAATGAAAAGATTGTTGAAAGGAAGATTCTTGCCTTGAAAACTGGAAATAAGGTCATCATAGTCAGATGTTTCCGAGGCAGCAGGAGGCTTACCACTATTAAAAGAGGTGGCTCTGTTGGGTCAGTCCCAGAGGACCTTTGTTTTATGATAGGCTATTTAGGCGCCCTTGGTATCCTTTCGGACTGGTTCATGTCATTATCAAGGATACTTATTACCTTATCACTAGAGGGCATTAGAGTTGCATTAAAGTTGGTGGCAATCTTACGTCGACAATAGCGGTCGACAACTGTTTTTCCTTTGGCCACATCATAAAGAGTTGGAAGGTTTAGAATTCCTCTTTTCCTAGTTGTCACACCCCCGAACCAGAACGGCGGAAACGTCTGGGGGTTGGGTGAATCATCTTGTAATATCATCACATTGTATATAATTGAAACAAAACATCATCATCATCACACATACAATATAACAACCATCATAGTTTACATAAGTGTGTTGGGTTACAAATTACATTCCAAATGTTTAATGTATGATGATAACAAAATACAACAAAAATCCATGTGTTCTTGAAAACGTCAACATATATAATGTCGGTGAGTTCATAAGCATGTTTGTATGAAAGTATTGTATCACATTGTAAGACCAGAAAATGCGATATTTTCTGTAAAAATGGTTTGAAAGTTTTTGTATCGAATCTTGTATTATAGCATGTGTGTTTCTGTTTTGAAAATGTATAAAGAGAGTATCCCAGAAAATCCTATATTTTCTGTTTGTAATAGTGTTGTGGTCTTAAAACCCTAAGAACGAAAAATGGTGTTTGTATGGTTTTTGTAATAGCAGAAATGTATATGTAATTCCGTAAATTTACAGTGGAGTTAATCTCTATGTGAGTCGTTATAACCATGCTTGATATGACTGATCTGCTTGTCATAACGTTTTTCAGGCGTCGACTTTTTTAAGGAAAGACATTTGTCACCCTAGACTGGCCTAGTCTAGCTGTAGCGAACAACTCAGGTGCGGGGCTGTCAACCCCGTAGAGATCTATACACAAACTCTCGCTCTCCCTCCAGGAGACTCTGGTTATAACTACAGGACTTAAGGTTGTACACTATGTAGGTACGAATGAAAGAACGTCTCACAAGAACCTTAACTAAATTTACGCAAACAGTGTAACACACTATTTAATGTTTTAAATAGTGTTTCCGTGTATGTATTTAGGTTACAAGGCCCAATGTGTATGTACATGAATGAATGAGACCCAATAATCATGAAATGTGTATACCAGGTCCGTCGAGCATGTAAATGGGTTAACAAGGCCCAATAAACATGTAAGGAGTATACAGGACCTATCAAGCATGTAAATGGGTCAACAAGGCCCAATAAACATGTAATGAATGTATCAGGCCCAATAAGCATGTAAATGGGTCACTAAGGCCCAATAAACATGTAATGAATGTATCTGGCCCAATAAGCATGTGAATGGACCACGAAGGCCCAATAACATGAAAATGGGTAAACAAGGCCCAATAAAAGTGAGAATGACGTAATTAGCCCGTTTGTTATTATATTGCTTGTTTTAGCTCAATTATTTACCAAAATGACATAAAAGGCCCACTTTTTGTAAAAATGACATTCTTGGCCCATTAAGCCGAAAATTTACAATTAAGGCACACTTTTGGTAAAAATGACACTTTAGGCCCATTAAGACCGAAAGTTTACTTTTAAGGGCTCATTTTGTATAAAATGACATTTTCAACCACTTTTGATAGAAATAACATTTTTGGCCCAAGTTTTTTAGAAATGACTTTTTCAGCCCATTTAACCGAAAATTTACATTTTTGGCCCATGTTTATTTAAAATGACAATTTAATCCATAAAAAGTCAATAATTACCTTTTTAGGCCCATGAAATCGTGTATTTCTAAATAAGGCCCATTTTTATGAAATTTGACAAATTTAGCCCATTAAAACCGTGAAGGCCCAAATAGAAGCCCATTTTGTGAAAATTTACATTTTTTGCCCCTTTAAAACCTGAATATCATAAAGATTCATTTCTATCTAAAAATGACTCTTTTGGTCCTCTCAAAAATGTGAGTTGTCAAAAAGGCTTTACTTTTTGTTTATTTATCAAAAATGGCCCCTTATATGGTTTTGTTTAGTTTTCTAGTGTCCCTTAACATGTTTAATCCTTTCAACTTCATAGTAAGTTCAATATGATGATTTAGTTTTCAAACATCACCAAACTTTAGTAGATATCTCGAGTTTTTATGAAGTTTTAACAAGTTTTCATAGCATAATCACAACATATAACATGAAAACACACATATACATGCATAAACACATAGATCTAACACAAAAGCAAACTTGTATCCTCCCCCAAAACATAGTAAAAACCAAAAACAAGGGGGTATGAACTCACTTTGGGTGTTGGATCGATTTTGAAGAGAAGAAGAAGATGGTCGAATAGGTCATCAATCCGAGGGAGTGGATATCGATTTTTGATGGTGAGTTTGTTCAACTCCTGATAGTCGATGCACATTCTGAAGGATCCGTCCTTCTTCTTGAAAAACAAGACCCGGAGCTCCCCAGGGTGAGAAGCTCGGCCTGATGAATCCTTTGTTCAGAAGTTGGCTTAATTGACTGGATAACTCCTGCATTTCGGTGGGAGCTAACCTGTAAGGTGATTTGGAAATTGATGTGGCTCCTGGTATTAGGTCGATTCGAAATTCAACCTGTCTTTCTAGGGGTATTCCCGGAAGGTCTTTAGGAAATAAATCTGGAAAGTCACATGCCACTGGGATATCTTTGACGTTTATTTTCTCTTTTTTTATCCACAACATGGGCGAGTAAGGCATAATTTTTCTTGTGCAGGTATTTTGTGCCTTGATGCACGAGATAAAACGGAGATTGGCGCCAGGTTTATCACCGTATATTATTAGGGTTTCGTGGTTGGGGAGGTGAAGGCGAACGGCCTTCTCGTGGCACATAATATCAGCATGGTGGGGGCTTAACCAATCCATGCCGATTATCACATCAAAACTCCTAATATTAACTTGCATCAAATCTATTTGAAATGAGTGGTTGTTTAATGTTAACGTGCATCTTACGTAAACGTCTTTGGTTGTTTCAGTTTTCCCATTAGCCATCTCCACCGTGAAGGCTTCGCTTAGCTTCTTGGGTTGTTGGTTTAGTAAGTGTTTGAATTTATTACTCACGAAACTCCGCTAAGCCCCCACTATCAAATAGAATGCATGCGTAAGTGTTGTTGAGGGGAAACGTACGAGTAACAACCGTCGGGTCTTGAACTGTCTCTCCTTGACCCAATGTCAGGACTTTGCCTGATCCTCCTGCTCCTTGCTTATTGGCTGTGGGGAAATTTCGCCTAAAATGGCCAGTTCCTCCACATCCATAACAAGTGTGACTGGCCCCGACGTTATTGTTGTTGTTGTTGCTGTTGTTGTTGTTGTTGTTTGGCTGCTGGTTCTGTTGGGGTTGAGATATGCAGTACTGGGCGGTGTGCCCCTTGCGGTTGCAGTTGGTACACTGCATTTGTCTGCACTCGCCATTGTGGTGGTAGTTGTATTTGTTACACTGTGGTAAGGTTCCATAGTAAGGCTTGGTAGTTGTTTGCGCAGATGAGGCTGGAGCAGATGGTGCTGGCGCAACTTGAGCGGTAGCAACATGGACTGCTACAGTTTGCTGCTTTTTGAAGGATCCCTGGTTCTGTCGCCCCTTTCGTTGTTTCCCCATTTTTCCTTGTTTATTCCCATTCCTTCTTGGTCTCAGTCTCAGCTGTTTTGGTACTCTTCTTGTTGCCATGATCGTAAAGCTTTTTAGCTAGCCTTTTTGCACTGTGAAAAGTCTTTGGGTTTGCCGCAATCACGTTTCCTTGGATTGGAGAAGTTAATCCCCAAATGAACCGCTCAATCTTCTTTCCTTCTGATGTGATCATACCCGGCACAGAAGGGCTAGTTCACTGAACCTTGAGATGTAAGCCTTGATGTCTGAGTTTTATACTGTGAGATTCCATAACTCTTGCTCTAATTTATGTACTTCCCTACGGGGACAGTACTCTGCCATCAACATTTCCTTGAGCTCCTCCCATGGCATGCCATTTTCCACTGGGAGTGTCATAGCCTCCACATGACCATTCCACCACGAAAGCGTTTGGTCGATAAACGTGCAAGCTGCAAATTTCACCTTGCATTCTTCAGGACATCCGCAGATCTCAAAGACTGAATCGATCTTTTCTATCCATCTCTTTAATGTTATCACGCCTCCCGTTCCATTGAACGTTCGTGGTTTGGCAATTGAGAAATCTTTATAGGTACAGACTTTCGTAGGACGTTGGTTCATTCCTTGGTTCGAGCTTCCAGTTCATTGACCATTACCGCCACCATTGTTCCTAGTTTGAATGTGTGCCAAGGCTGTTGTGACTACAGCAGAGTTCACCTCTGGCGGAGGCGGTGGTGGTGGTGCTGTGTTGTTATTCCTACGAATGTATCTTCGAGGCATCTTCTGTCATGGAACAGAAAGATGGTGAGTACATAGTGGTTTGTGGTTTCGTGTTCCTTTGGTATATAATGTTTTCGATGGTTCGGTTGTGCATATAAGTGAATCCGTGTAATATCACGAAATAAGAAAAATAGGACACCTAGCAGATAACAACATCACAATAAAACACATAACTGTTTCATTAATGATATAATATTCGTAGTACAGAGCATGAAAATTTTCCTTTTAAAATGGCATACAGTACATAGAGAAAATATATAATCTGACAACATCATGGCATTATGAGTATTGTAGTCACTTAATCATAAAGTCGGTCCTACATACAATAGTACATAAAAGAGAACCATAACAATAGTGGTAGTGAGTGGAGCTGATCCTAGTCGCGGTGGGAAGTGTCTGGTGGTGATGCTCAGATGTCGAAATGATGCACCAAAAGGTCAGCCAATTCACTCATTTCCCGAGTGATTTCATCTCTCTTTTGCTCCGCTGGAACTGCTCTTGCTTCTGCTGCAAAAAGTTGTTGCCTGAGAGTGGCAACTTCCTCCTCC